CTTTTTTACCCCCTTGGGGGTGGAAATTATCAAAATCCTTTCTTAGCGGATGCCTAAGTCATAACATCTATCTGTATGCCAAATTTTAGCCCAATCTGTCCAGCGGTTTGGGCTGTGCGTTGATAGATACTTCAAAAGTCGATTTTTTTATTGATACAAAACAAAAGTTACAATTTCTGGAATTCCTTTGGTACCTACTTATATAAAAACTTTGCACATCCTAAGAGACCCATGTACCAAGTTACATGGTTTTATCTCCAAAAATGACGAATACCCACATGCAACCCCTATTTCACCCCCACGCTGGTGTAAATTTTAAAATGCTAGAACAAACGATTTTTTGTTTAATATTTAGTGCCTAAATATAAAATGTAAGGTATCTTCAAGAATGACGAACTTCATACAAACTTTCAACCCCTATTTCATCCCCTCACAGGTAGAAATTTCAAAAACGCTAGAACAAATGTTTTATTATTTTTTATCAAGTGCTTAAATATAAAGTTTCATGGTTTTATCTTTAAAAATTATGAAATCCCATACAACTTTCCCCCCCACCCTTTTAAGCCCTTACAACCCCTTTTTCGCGATAAAAAGTAGCCTATGTTTTATCTCGGGGTCTAGAATATCTGTATACCAAATTTCATTCAAATCCGTTCAGTAGTTTTGGCGTGAAAGAGTAGCAGACAGACAGACAGAGTTACTTTCGCATTTATAATATTAGAGGTAGTTAGGATATTAGTTAGGATGTTATTTTCAGTGTAAGGCTACATATACCCGTTTTGTTACTTATAATCTACATAGGTTCAAAGTTCTAATCAATACAAATTATACAAGCCCAAAAACAAGGTAGTTACAGTAGAGGTATACCGTTGAGGATTTCCCTTAACAATTACACATCTTCATCATCAGACCCTTAATGACCTCAATGGTTAAGAGTACCCATCCGGTGTTTGAATTTGAATAATTTGTATTGATAAAAACTTTGCATATCTAGTGAATGGACACAGTTGGTATAATGCGTACCTAATAAAATTGTAAACAGCTTAATAATGTTAAGTATCTATTAAGGTTTTAATGAATAATTTTGTTTAAAACTTGTGGCACCGACTTCTAACCTATCAGTGGGTGTGTAAGCTATAAGTACGTATGACCAATAATAGTTATTTTTTTCCTTTTTAGTTTTTACTTTTCGTTGGTCATTCGTTTTTTTAAGCCTTTATTTATAACTATAAAAGCTTTTCGTGATAGTGGGTATATGGAACAATGTTTATATCTTTGTTCTTTAATTTAATTTTAAAACAATAACAAGACATACCTAGATATAATTTGGTAAACTTCATCAGGACTTTAGAACAAGAATGGAATGAAACACAAAGAGAGGAACTAGGAGGAGCAAAGGAGTTGATTAGGGCAGTGCTCCGGTACCGATGTATTATGGAGTCTGACAGCGAGACCATCCTGAGCGTCCCTATTATAGACTCCAGAGATGAAGACGAGCGCAAAATTGATGACATCATACAAGCTCTTGCACATAAGTCCTTACCTATTTCAAACTACTTTGATTTGTTTAATTTTATCCTTGCCCTGTGTGTGATCCTCTGTGCCAACTAGTCCTTTGAAATTTTTCAGTTATAAGAACAATCTAGACAGAACCTGTGTGATCACGGCAGAGTAGAACAATAAATTTGTCACTATCCTTATTTCCGCAGTTATCGTAAGAACCGGCACTATAAATAGATGCTCGGTATCAGTATTCTGTGATATATTTAATACTCTTAAAATGTGAGCTCCATCCTGCCTGGCAAGCGTGGAGATAATCACATACCCTCTTAAGTAGACAATCCTCGTAGAAGTGATAATGAATTTAGATATAGTATAATAATTGTTCAACGACTTGTCTAATCAGTACTTAATACCATGCTAGGATATACGAAGATCTAAAGGTTACAATGTCTGACGAAATTCAGAGACGATCTCGACCTTCCATCACGACGAAACCAGCTCCAGAACCCGAAGACTTGTCTGTTCTTGAAGAATTGCTGGAAGGTAGGTAATGTTATGAATCACCTGAATAAGTATCCAGAAGAAATGAATAGAACGGTGTTGAAATCCACGTTACCCAATAATAACGCGTCGGTCTGTTGTGACTTAATTTTATAAAACTTATTCAGTTGTACACAAAAAGTAAAAAGTAGACAAACGTAATGCTATAATGCTACATTATGTATAAAAACACTATAACGAGTAGGTCGTATTATTCAGATACTTCGCCTGATCCGTTCGGTACCTTAGATCGCTAATCCCTCTGAGGCCTGGTCTACAGTTGCAACTAGCGACTTGGTGACAATCAAAAAGGCAGTCAGTCAGTCAAGAACGTTCGTTGAAACTAGGTGCCTACATACTTAGGTAATCGTAATCAAGAAAAGTTAACCTTTGACTGCATTTGAATATAACTTTTTAAAGTACTTTAATAGATATGTATAAGAATTGGGGTTCCTATTCAACATGGAATTAAGTGAAGTTTGTTTGCCTCTTCATTCTCCAATATATAGATGAAGCAAAGCAAACAGAAGAAGAACGGGAGAGTTCTTTGAGAGAAGTTGATGAAGCAGAGCAGATGAGCCCCTGCCTGCAGAGGTATTGGCGTCGCCGCAACGAGGAGTACAAAGAGGAACAATTTTATATGTAAGTCAACAATTGTAGATGTGTTAAATAAAGGTGTAATTAGTAGGTAGTAGGTACTATTATAGATTTATTTTCATCTCTAATATTATATACTAATGTATTAGTGTCCGTGTAAGTAACCACTGCTGAACCATGTCTTAACTAAAAATGACTTAGCGTGAATGAGCAGCTGCAGGGTGCTTAGGTACTCTTGAAACCAATTTCAATGTCATCGCAATTTCAATCCAATAAAATCTCAATATTATTTAATGTCAACACTATACAACCACAATCGTAGCTGTTACAATAGCAATCAGAGTACGGAATATAAAGCCAAACTCATTTAGTTCATTCAATATCCACGGAATACGAATGTAATGGACGACAGTATTGCAACTCCAGAGTACGTCACAATATCAATGTCGATCGGAATTGGATTCAAGAGTAAGCCATCTGTCACTTACATGTCAGCTATCATAGTTTAGAAGTTTCTTATTTGTTGGACAAAACGGGCATTACGTATCCCAGTTACTAAGTACTACCTAATAATGGTTTCTAAATATATCAGCGAATTTGCTGAGAACGAGCAAATATATTGGCATGGTACTAATTGTTTTTAGTCCTGCGTAAATATAATATGTACATAAGTAATTGGAGAAACTATTGGCATATATCCGATAAAGATTGTTCTATCTAATACTTACCTAAATATTTATTTAATAGGTAAACACATTTAATTTATCAAGGTGGAAATTCGTATCTCATCGTGATAAAAATACTCACTTAAATAGTCTTTGTATCAAGTAATCTTAATAGATAACATTTCTAAGATGGCGGCTCCCTTATATTGATACAGAATTAGGTAGGTACTAATATCAAGTGATTGCAGGTAAAAAGGTCATTGTTACACAACATTTTCCCAATATTTTTCTGTCTAAGTACTTTTTTATGATATTTTTCCTTATACCCGCCTTGGTGGTGCTCTGCGCAAGGCATCTGATTACATATTAACTAATTTTAAGTTGACCCCTGTTCGTGTAGTTTTAAGGACACTTGTTTCAGTTGATAAGCGCCTTTCACTGCAGTTTTCGCGCATTCGAACCTCATTCCCATTCCACACTCTGACGTAGAGGCTGCAATAGAAAGCCCAACGTTACACTCAGTTTAGTGCGTGGTCAAACTCTTTGGATTGAGACTTTTATTAATTTCCGCCGTTAGATAACTTTTGTAGTCTTCAGTACATAGGTACTTTAATACAAATGTATGAAATTGGAAAGAAAAATTTAATGCAAAGTCCGCAAATTCAAAAGAAAATTAGACTCGTGTCGATGTGCCTAGTCTTACTGACGGTTAAATTTATAACTATCTTTGTTCTTATAGGTACCTTCTCCGAGAAAGCACTGTCCCCCCATACTTCAAAAATGTTCTTGGTGGTGCTATTTGGTGGGACGTACACAACGCGACCGGTAATGCAGTCTGCATAGCTGAACGACGCAAGATGAAGTGTGTTTGTGCTGTCGAAGAAGAAACTACTACTGCCAGTGATATTGTAAATCCTTTCATGTAGATATGTGATGTTTTTTGAGGTTCATTACCATCATGAACCATCTTTGGGAGTCCACCACTAAACTATTGGTCTTGGATATCTCTACGTTGGGGTTGGTTGAGTTGGAGTTCGCAGTTTAAAAGGATTATGGTTTCCATAGAACGCTACTGCCTGGCCTCCGTTGAATAATATGTAGGTAGGCCCTAGTTGTTTTTTGTTTATCTTCTAATTTAATTAGTTTAGGGATCCATGACACTTATTTATGACCCTGGAGTGCGCCGAACTGGTGTTCTGGTGTTTTATGGCTGTATCTACTGTAGATCCTGTCTTACGGAAGTTGCAGCGGTTTTGGGACGTTGTGGCGGGCTAGTGCCATTCAAAAAAGTCCCTTGTTCAACTCTTAGACTCTTAGGTACGAGTCACCAACAGAAAAAGCTGGGGTGGTGGGTGATATGTTTGTACTCTAAGAAGTAGGGGTGTAATGAAGTTTTAGTGATCTGTTTTCTAAGCATTAAGTGCTGTTTTAGTTTTCACTGTTTATTTTCCTCATTAAGCTTCTTAATGGTTTCTGAGCGTCCAAACTTGATTAAGAACTTAATGTGTTTGATTGTGTCAAAATAAACTTGGGTATTTCGTTTTCCATTAATTCTTATTGATAATAGTGTTTAAGTATGTCCCATTACTTCTGTTTGTTTTGTTTCCCAATGGTATTTACGGTTTCTACCGTATTTTTGGTCACAATTTGTTCTTATATGCCCTGCCCGAGTATTGTTTGTTTCAAATGTGAGTTGAAGTAGGAGAGTATCTTGTCTAATGACAATGATAATGAATGACTTGATAAGTACAATTACTTACTTTGCACGTCAGGTAAGTGTAGTGTGGACCCTGAGGAGCTTTAGTTTTGGTACTTTTAGTTGACTGTGATTCATATTTATGGCCAATTTTAGTGGTTAACTGACGTATTACACGGACTGAAAATTCTTGGCCTGATACTGAAAATACAATCAGAAGGTTAATTATTGTTAAAAAGCGCAACGTGGTGTATCTCATTGTGTGACTGTAATCCACAAACTGTTGTTCCGGGTCTGAGCGTCATGTGTCTACTACGTCAACTTGTATTTTTGAAAATGCACCCACGACACAGGACAAGATACTAGTGTGGGGCGTTTTTAAAATACGATAATATGACACTGATTTTGAACAGGTCTTTGTCGTAGTCCTATGCAACACAAACCCAACGCATGTTTTTGTTTGCTAACTCATGAACTTCACTTTTCAATCATTCAAAATTATTTCGTGGATTTTTGTAATAATTTCTAGTACCTATTACCGCTTCATTGCGACCGCTTGTCCTCATACCACCAAAAAAAAAGATGTGCAATGCAATAAAAGGTGCCATTTTTGCATGAGGTACAGATCTCTTCAGCCCGTGTGATAAAAGCCAGTGGCATTAGACAGCTTCGTTTCTTGAAATATGTATTTAAAAAATAAAGATCTAATTAGACATTTTACTAATACTTGTTTTTATTACGTCCCAGACTCTTAATCCACAAATCTCATCCCACATAAAGCGTTCTGAATTTCAGACGATTGACCAAAAACGATATTTGTGTTGGGACTGGTTCGCAAATCTTTTGAGTGATTTGAGATTAGAGAAAAAGTAATATAATTCAGGTTGTTTTCACAAGTGAGTAAATAAATCTACCAACGGAGTGCTGGTTAACATTGCCTACTATTTATTTAAGGTAGGTATACTTAGTTGCTACGACGCAGATCGTCACTGATGATATTTTATAGGTACTTGTATGACTCCAATCATCGAGTCGAAATGATTAACGCTCGTATACTGAAAGGCTACTAAATTTTAAGTAGTACTTAAATATCGTGTCATCTCTGTTTGTCATTTTACAAAGAGTTTGAAGTGAAAGAACTTTGCAAACGACACTTAAAATTCAGTGGCGCTTGAGTATTTGGACATACGTTTTGCTACTTACTTCATCAACAGCCTATAAATGCCCACTGCTGAGCAAAGCCTCTTCTCACACAGAGGTTTGAGCATTAATCACCACGCTTGCTCAATGCGGGTTGGCGATTTCAAACTAATAATTAGAAATTATTAGTCCAGGTTTCCTCACGATGTTTTCCTTCACCGTTGCTACTTACTTAGTCCCGATGAAAAATTTGTTAGGTAAGTACACTACAAGTTTCGTGTGTATTTTAGATATAGGTACTTTTTATGTTAAAAATTATAACCTGAAGATAATGAAGTCATTATATCCACCACCATATCCCATGTGAGGTATCAAAAATGTGAACGTGAAATAAATTCCCAAATGTCCATGTCAGTTTTTTTTAATTATCTTTAGTGAAGAGATTGATGTTTGAGACATTTGAAATGTTCGATAAAACCAGGAACTAAAGTGATTCCAACGCGTCGGTGTGCGACAGATCATTGTTATACATCATTATTCAGTTGAAATATTGAGTAGTTCATGTTGACTTGTTGAGTGAATCGCTGTGTCTCGGTATGAATAATCGGCTCGTTACTCATGCATACGTGTCGAGTGTCGATACTACTAAATGCCAGAAATAAACCTGAATTACGTAACTGAGACTTTTTACGCATGACTTAAAGATTATATTGGTGAGTTTATCTTGGCGATAGCGATTATCCGCCTAATGGTTACTGGTAAGGGTCATTGATAGTGTGTAAGGTCTCATCGCCTGGCAATCGGCTACAGGCGATTGGTGTCTGGGCTTGAGCGGTGTGGCCTCGCACACCAATTTGTGTGCAAACGAATGGCGGGAGAAGAGTATGTCAGTGCAGACGAATTCGTCAGTTGTTTTCCCCACCGCCTTTTCCGCTATGACGATGTCAGCCAGTGGCAAAGGAGCGCGGAGTGCGATGTGATTGGTTGCCGGCGCAACCAATGTGCGCGGCCGGTGCACGTCTGCCCTAGCACGAAAGGGACCGCAGTGACGCCCGGACAGTCCGTCCTGGGCCCTTGCGAAGGATCGTGTTGTTGACACGATTTGCATGTGTCGGAAATTGTTTGTCAACAAATGTGTTTTTCCGTTGCATGTGCAATTTTTGGGGACGTCGTAGACGTGTCACGTAAACTCTAGATTGTGTGTTCACGTGAGTATTTAATCTCCACAATATTTTTGTTTCTATGTTGTGACAAAAGATGGCGTTAGGTGTCGCGTTGAATGGCCGTGTCATTGGACTAGGTTATTGTGATCGTGTGTGTCAACCTTTATCAGAATGCGTGCACTCTTGTTTATTAGTTTTCTTACAAAAAGTGACTCATTACTCGGTAAGTGGCGCGTGAATTCAACTTGCTATCCTACAGTGGGGGTCATAAGTTAGCAATTTGTGTGGGAAGTTGTGTTTGGGGTTGGAGTAACATGGGATAAAGCTGAATGAGAAGGGTGATGGTGATGGTGAGCAATGTTACCAATTCAAAATATGTGCCTATTCTTAGAACTTCCAGTAGAGTTCCTGCACAAGGAGACAAATTACTTTCTTATCACTTACCTAATTATTGTATGTATCAATGTCAACTTCTTACCTGACATCCTATAGTAAACACATAGTAAAGATGCTCACTTTTCGGTACCTATCGTCTTTACGGTGAAAGAAATACTTATATTTCAACTCTTTAATCCTAATTACTAACTGGGGCTAAAACAATAATAGAATTTGTAAAACTTTATACAAACAAAACAATTGCTTTAAAAACAATTGTGTCGATGGACCAAAACTTTTCAAGGATATAAGGAAAACCATGCTGTTTTTCTTTATCGTTTACAATAACAACCATACCTATTGTTCTGTAGTTACCTGACACATAACTTGTTTTGTAAATATCGAAAAAGAGGGTGAAGAAAATTAACACCTTTGAATTTCAATTGCAATTATCGTCCCTAGGTATTTACTTGCCGTTGCATTCATTGGTGCCCTCTTTTTACCTACAGTAAACACTCACTTATTATAGGAAGATACCATTAACTGCACCTCATGAAAAAACTTTACGAATTCGACGATAAAAAAACCATCACAAATTATAGGTTGGGGAATTACCTTAGGGGACGCTCCACAGCGGAACGGAATGCTATCCTGCGCACAACGATTCCCTATGTAATTCTAACTTGTAGCTGACTGTAGTATCCATTGCTGGGGTAGTAAGAAGCTCAATACTTGGTTCTTTACTTTGACGAGCATTGTACGGGGTGTGTTGGTAAGATGTAGCACGGGTGCAATAGGGAGTCGTGTTGCATTAAGCCGGCGAGAGCGCGACAAAACACGGTCGGGTTTCCGTCAATATCCGTGGAACGACGATACTTCAACGCCTGCGTTTAAGTTCATATTATTAAGTACGTCAACCACAAGTACTCATTATTGGTACACCTTGTAAACAATGCACCCATCAGCCTTTTCAATTTTAGGCATTGAAAGCAATACAGGGAGCGAGATAAGTTGATTAACAATTATTTAACCGTTGTATGCTTTTTGATGATTGAAACTTTAAATTGATAGGATCATTGGGTCCTCCCAAATAATGTCGTATAAAAATCGTTCAGTATACATACTTGTGAATTGCTGGGAAGGAATGGATAAAGTATCTCGGTGGTTTAGTAATTTAAATTTTTGTCCCATATCTCCGTAAGGCCCTTGCATTGTAACTGCCATCTGACCACCGGGAACTTGCATTGGACCACCTATCACACCCGATAAATTGCACCACAAACATTTGCACCTAATTACCAATAAGTGATTAGGTACTTATTCTTATAAGAAAATAATAATTGGTTGTCACCATTGTGTCGGTCTAATAGAGATTGTGTAGAAAAATATAAAATTCACATTGCAAATCCAATTGGAATCTTTAACTCTACAGTTATTGGATCCAATACCACATTGTACTTACCACAAGGATATCACAACAATGGATAAAAATTATTGCATTTTGAATACGACAATTAAACTGTCAAACACCAAGCGGTCACCGGTGACCGCA